GATCTTTTGATGCTCAATACGAAGTGAGGTAGCTGAATTGCCCATCTCAACTCTGGCTGGCTTCTGAGTTTGTCTGAGCTTGTGCTGTACCACGCATCGCTGTGTAACCTTCTGGAAATAAACTGGGGCCCGTGCTAAGGGGTTCATTGCAGCATATCATCCAAATATCTGGTAGACGTGTTCCTGCAGGATGCGCATGCATGTTGAGTACCCGGTGACGAGCAGCGGACGCTGTGCGATTTCATCTTAGACATGTGAAATCCGTCTCTGATGGAGTCATATTCGATCCGGGGTCTGATTGAGATACATGCAAACATAGAACCTAAGACAATGGCTTTGTTGTTGTGGGGATGGAAATAGATGTGGCTTCGGGCATGGCGTCACTCACGACCCTGCAGATCCGCACGGTTGCATGTTGCGGCTCTCCGGCGCTCGCAACACTGCGACCCAACACATGCTAGACAACTCGATGCCCTCCGACGAGCGCTGACCCACCCTTTGCTCCAATGCACCCGGCCGTCTCCATACTTGCCGATAATGTCGTCAAATACCACCACCTGCTCGCCCCGCTGCTCTACGCCATCCTCGCGGCCGTCGCAAACGTGCACACACCGGTCCAGCATTCGCTGCTCATAACGACGATATCCTGGCTGATAGTATGGGTGCCGACTGTCTTCTGGGTGGGCATATATTCGAATAGCGACAGCGTCAAGAGGAGAACGAGCTGGCTGGCTGGCGCACTGCTAGGCCTGTCTGTGATATGCGACCGCGCAGCATGCGATAAGCAGGGCATTTGGGCGACCAAGGTACTTTCGGACGGGATATAGGGACAACATGCGACCGTCTAACAGCACTTCAGGCCCTTGTTCCCCTCTTCACCGTCCTGTTCTCCGAGAACCAATTGGTCGCAAAACACCTCGCCCTACCCACCTGGACCATTCTCGATGGCCCTGCAGCCGAAACGAAGACCTCTCCGGAGCGACAGCCTCACACCGAGTCATACGGGATACTGGCAGTTCTCGTTGTCTCTGCGAGTGCTGTCCTAGGCATCTATGCAGTTCCTACTACGGTCGCGCTCGGTCTCAGCAGTGCCATCTTCGCGGCTACTGGCCTCGTCCTGTTTGAGTCTACCATACAAGCCGCGACAGAAGAGGGCGAGGGCGGCAAGCGAGGGCTTGGGTCTGCGAACGCGAATACGTTGCGGCGCGCCTCGGTGAGTGGTGCCTCAAGGCCGCAGCGACTGGCTGCGCTCAGAGACGTCGCAGTGGCCATTGCAGTTGTATGCGGAATTGCGTCTATCCTTACCGAGTCATCATTGACTGCAAGCACGATATCCTGGGAACCTGTATACAGAGAATATGACCGGGAGTGGAGGGATGTGCACAATTTCCGCATCCTGCAGCGCTTCTTGTGGATGTTGCCGGTTCACACCACTGTAAATGTTCTTGTTTTCGTTCTGGTACGTACTCTCTTCCACATTACTGTTGAACTACCTAATTACGCTGCCCTGATACCAAACGCGGGTCTGGCGTCCTGCCGCGTCGTACCCGTCGCCATGGCTTTCACCCCAGCTTTTGCTTTCAGGTTCCAAGACCAGAGACGTAGCTTTCACTCTCAACGCACTGTCAAAAGATCAAGCTAATTAGCCGATAGATCTCTCAATATGGCGCTGTAAATACCTCTCTGTTGGCCATATTCGCTCACCTTGCTGCGAAACTACACTTCGCCCCGACCTTTTCCACCATTTTGTTTACCCTCATTTACGACGGGGCGGCGCTTGTACACTTTTTTGAGTCGTCCGGATCTCCCATTATCATGGATTCGCGGCGCTCTATGCGACTGCGTCGCTTTATCTTCATCGTTATGGCTCTTGCAGTGGGGTCTCTACTTTTCGGACGTTTCACTGGACCACCAACGTATCAACACATCACGCATGGTGTTCTTACCGACATACCACTTTCTCCGCCTGGGATGCCACTTGCTCCGGTATCGGTAGATATGACCAAGGGTCATCCAGCTGCGCAATTAATTGACGCTGCAGAGGCAGACTTCCAAGGCACCCTTAACCGACAATCCAAGTCTCTCGCTGACGCGGTTCGAGAGTACCGACGCAGGAACGGGATCTCACCACCTCCGCACTTCGACAAATGGTACGAGTTTGCGACGCGCAACGGTGTTGTGATGATAGACGAATACGACACGATCAATGAGATGCTGCTACCGTTCTGGGCGCTCAAACCATCGACGATTCGGTCGCGCATTGCGAATGCGTTAGGTCATGAAGATAGCTCAATGCTTGCAATTGCGATACGCCATGGCGCTGTAGAGAACTTTCAAGGTGGCGATGAATGGCAACAACAGGCTACCATTGGCATGATGAAGCAGTTTGTCCAGTATCTGCCCGATATGGATCTGGGCTTCAACTTGCATGACGAACCGCGAGTCGTCGTGCCCGACAATCTGTTGTCGTCGATGGTGGCAAGGGCGAGGGACGAAATTCTACCGCGTACTGCGAAGAACACCGCACCTCGCAATACCTTCTCCGCTCGTCCAGAAGACTTGAGTGATGGTACGCGATTTGCTGAAGTTAGCACGACCAAGTTCAATCGCTTTGCGCATCAACAGACATGGACGCATTCGCGGCTATCGTGTTCTCCTGGTACTCAGGCCCAAACTTTCGAAGACTACGCTGCCGACAACTTCACCGCGTATGCCGCCAGCGACCTTGGCTTCATCTACAATACGACTGCATTTTCCGACATCTGCAACTCGCCCTCTTTCTCGTCAACGTTCGGATTTTTCGAGCGCCCCAACGCCTTCAGTATCATCCATGAGCTGACACCCGTCTTCTCGCAGTCGAAGATCTCAAGCTTTCAGGACATCCTATACCCCAGTCCATGGTACTGGATGGGCAAAGTGGGCTACGACGAGACACACGACACAACCTGGGAGAACAAAACGAACAGCCTCTACTGGCGCGGCTCCACAACAGGAGGTTTCAGTCGCAACGGCGGCTGGCGACGTCAACACCGCCAACACGTCGTCCAACGCCTCAACGCGCCCGACACCGCCAAAGTCCTCGAACCCGTCTCCAACCCCACCTCAACCTACGCCGTAACCTCGATCGAGCGCAAAGCCCTCAAAGACCTCATCGACGTCCACTTCTCGCACATCGGCCAATGCGACCCCGGCGACTGCGACGCGCAAAACGAATTCTTCGACGTGACCGAACGCGTCGACGGCCAAGACGCATGGTACTACAAGCACCTCCTCGACATGGACGGCAACGCGTTCTCCGGCCGCTTCTACAGCTTCCTCAAGTCCCGCAGTCTGACGTACAAAATGGCGCTGTTCCGCGAATGGCATGCAGAGTGGCTACGGCCCTGGGTGCATTATATCCCCCTCTCCCTCCGCGGCGACGAACACCTCGATCTTGTACGGTGGTTCAGCGGTACGCAGGTGTTTGACGAGGATGGCGATGGCGTTGTGGAGAGAGTCAAGGCGGATGGAAGCAAGAAGGGCGGTAATGGCGCGAGTGAGGGGGAGAAGAAGGCGAGGCTTATTGCGAAGAGGAGTTCTGAGTGGCATGATCGGGTGTTGAGGAATGTGGACTTTGAGGTTTGGTTCTTTAGGTTGCTGTTGGAGTATGGGAGGGTGGTGGATGATAAGAGGGAGGAGATTGGGTTTGCGGGGCCGTAAGGATGGGGGTGAGACGTGGTGAGATGGAGGGTGTGGAGGGGAAAATGAAGGTTGGATAGATGGAGTTGGAATACATTGCTGTTCTGTTTGACGTGTTCTAAGGATTGTGCATTTGATGCTTGGTGCGTTTAGCTGATGTGTACGCGCGACTAGTGGACGCCGTGACTTCGTTACGCAAATGCGTTCCTGTTGATGTTGAACCATACGGCGTCATTCTTTGATTTACCCTAACTTATCAAATGCCAGACATGAAGAAGATCGCGAGGCCAACTTATTGTCAATTGGTTTGCGACGAAAAGGATATGGCTGCTAAAGCGCAGCCCGATACTGTGCAGATGTTATCATCAGGAATACCGTGGTCCGCATCTAGAGCGAGACAGCAAGAGGACAGAACTGGATCCAGTGCGCTAGATAGCGGCGCAGACGCACACTAACTAGTCCGCCGAGCTTGCATGACTACGAAGCGCAGATCTAGATACTGATATTGGGCTATGAGCCCAAGCAGCCTAGCTCTAGCTGTAGTAAGGCTATCTATGCCTCTGATGAGGATTTGAACCTGTAATATCACAGAATTAGTATGTATATTGCGGATGCAATTAGCATCTTTTTACCTCAGTGCCAGCAGGCTGGCGACTCAGAAAGGGCATGCATAAATGCCCATTTGTGAGCAGTAGCCCATGCGGGCGCAGACGGTACATGTCCGCATCGACGACTGGTTCTCTCACATGGAAGGACCCTACCTCCCGAACGACATTTGCGTCGCGCAGCATCATCATCATCCAGCGGAGTCCCAAAACTAAACCCCGGGGCTAGAACTTGGTCAACATTAAGATGAGACCCTATCTCACGCGAGACTACTAGTATTGCGATTCTCTTCCCAGGTCCACCGCCGGAAAACTCACACGAGACTGTGTGATGTAGTGATTTAGTTAGCTCTACTGACTCTCTCACCAGATGCAAGGGAAAATCTAAACAGGTTAGCAGCCTACATTAACATAGAAACCTGCAAAGTAGGTGGCCTAACGTTAATGTAGGCTCTAGACCTGTTTAGTTGTTTTCCTAGGTTAACGTGCTCCAGCTTGCATGTTGAATGACCTTTAATTAACGTCAAAACTGACTAGTACGGTGGTCTAACGAAAAGCCCGTGTAATATCCTACTCTCCCATCGACGAACTCCTACTCGATAACCGCTTCCAACCCGCCGCTCCATTCGTCAAGTATCCACGTATCTGTCTCCAAGCCCTTTTCAATACCCAAGCAATACTAGTGATGATGGAACGAATCTGCGAACGAGGTGAAGTCTACTTCCTCCCCGTTCGGACGCCGTACTCGGAGTAGAAATGGCACGTTGTGTTATGAACGACGCCGGATGTGTCTTCTTTGAAGACGTTGCAGCCGTATGTTGCGGCATTGGGTGGTGTGTATACTGTGTTTCGTTAGTCGGAAGATGATGCAATGGTGTGAAATAGAGAAGAGTGTGCGAGGGCTTTGTAGTATCTGGTATCTGAACAAAGCGTAGTGAAGTGTAGAGTAGGACGGAAGAGTTGATGCTTACAATGTAGTGAGACTGCGTAGTCTGTGGGATGCGGGTTTGAGATACGGTGCACACCAAGCGTGTCAGCCATGTATGTGACTTCGTTTTCAGCGAAAGTGGTCTCTTGGATCTTCGTCATGGGGCGCTGGTTTTGTGCGTCGTCTTCGGTGGGGGTTGCGAAACGGGTTTCTGTTAGGCTGCCTTTGAGTACTTTCATGATGCAGTGTGCGTTCGCGTGGCTGACGGGTAATTAGTATCGGCTTGTTGCGGTGAAGTGTGAGATATATCGAAGGCGAATGGCGGAATGTAGTGAATTATCGAAAGGTCGTCTTACCGGCGTGTCTCCTGCTGACACATCGATCAAAGTAGATCGGCGAACGGGGTCGCTTCATCGTGCAGGAGACTGGAGCCATGGATTTTTGTTCGCGAGGTAAGGCATGCTAATGTCAACTGTCGCAAAATATGAGAACTTACTCGTGAATCGGGCTCTTCTTTCCAGGACCCCATACCAGGATAAGCTGTTCGGTTAGCACTCTTCCTTGACTCGAGAATCGGGAACGGTACCAAGTTGCTCTTGCCGTTGCCTTTGTCGACAACATTCCGTGTGTATGGTAATGTCTCCGATGGAAAGTAGTATTTCTTCCACTCCGACTCTTCCGAGGTGTATGCTTTCATCAATTCTTGCAGCTCATTCTCGTCTACGTCATCCGAGTCTATGCCGTTGCTGGGGCCGAGCACCTTGTTGATCTCCTGCACGAGCGAATGGAAGTTATCCTCTTCAGTGTTGCGACCGATCATGGTAACGATGTTGATATGTGAGGAAGAAGAAATATGGCGAGCGTGTCGTTGATTATGATGTTATTGCAGACGGAGTTCCGACGAAGAGAGTTCGGAGCGCGGGCTTTAAATACACACAGCCTTTGTCGAGGGTAAGAGCGTTGGCTTGCCTGCCTTCAATGCTGCTTGTGCAGGACTGGGCTTGCTTCATTATGTAACAATTGGCGCGTTCTGAGCTTGTGATATGTGGATCCATGGCGGTCAGCAGTTCGCCGACATGTGATGCACTTCATATGCTCAGCCAGAGTGGTGGGTGTGGTCACCGATGTGAACGCGGCTTCTATCGGGCATCGGGCTCTTCAACTTCCAAGGTTTATGAAGGCCGAGAGGAAGCATGCATAGAAGCCAAGATGGAAGGGTGCTGCGTTGAACGCTAACCTTATCGGGTGGCGGTGAAAGGTACTGCCGGGAAGCCGTGCCCCGCTTCGTCATTGGCGGCGTGCGTCGCATCAAATTTCTGAACAACAACATCGCCTCTCCACGCCTGCTAAGAGCAATTCAGGATACACAGTAATTCAAGATGGCGACCACAGTAGACAAGGCAAGTATTGAGTGCCGCAGCATACCGCCATTCCACGCGCTAACAGAGTGTGCAGATCAAGGACATCGAGGCCGAAGTAAGCCACACCCAATACCCCAATACGCGACCGTAACACGATGACTTACACGAGACGTAGATGGCCAAGACTCAGAAGAACAAGGCGACGTCTTTTCATCTTGGTACGGATACACGACCGAATACTGCATATTGGCATGCTTATACATGAACAGGGCAACTGAAGGCAAAGCTCGCGAAGCTTAAGAGAGAGCTGCTCGAGCCTTCGTCCGGTGGCGGCGGTGGAGGTGTAGGATTCGATGTTGCTAGGACTGGTGTTGCCAGTGTTGGTTTCATTGGATTCCCCTCCGTGGGCAAGAGTACGCTCATGAGCAAATTGACCGGACAGCACTCCGAAGCCGCTGCATATGAGTTCACAACGGTGGGTTGGATGCGGTTGTTACTAGATTCAGTACTGACAACATACAGCTTACTACAGTACCGGGTCAAGTCATGTACAACGGAGCCAAAATCCAGATTCTCGATCTTCCCGGTATTATCCAAGGTGCGAAGGACGGTAAAGGTCGTGGACGACAGGTCATCGCCGTCGCAAAGACCTGCCATTTGATCTTCATCGTCCTAGACGTCAACAAACCCCTCACCGACAAGAGCGTTATCGAGAACGAACTGGAGGGGTTCGGTATTCGAATCAACAAGAGCCCGCCAAACATTGTGCTCAAGAAGAAGGACAAGGGAGGCATCAACATCACCGCGACGGTTCCCCTCACACATATCGACCATGGCGAAATCAAGGCGGTGCTGAACGAGTACCGAATGGCAAACGCCGACGTAGCTATTCGATGCGACGCCACAGTCGATGATTTGATCGATGTTATTGAGGCCAAGGGACGAAGCTACATCCCCGTCATCTACGCTTTGAACAAGATTGATGCTATCAGTATCGAAGAGCTCGATTTGCTCTACCGCATTCCGAACGCTTGTCCCATCAGTTCCGAGCACGGGTGGAACATCGATGAGCTTCTCGAGCAGATGTGGGAGAAGCTCAATCTCGTTCGTGTTTACACCAAGCCCAAGGGCAAGATGCCGGATTACTCGGCGCCAGTGGTATTGCGATCAACAGCCTGTACCATTGAAGACTTCGTAAGTCTCCCCCTCATCTTAAACGCGACGCGCTAACCGCTCTGTAGTGTAATTCCATCCACAAGACAATTGTCGACAACTTCAAGCACGCTATTGTTTACGGGAAATCATGCAAGCATCAGCCCCAGCGTGTGGGACTTTCTCACGAGCTTGCCGACGAGGATATCGGTATGTATCCCAGTATTATCTCTCTAAATGGATATCGTGAGCTGACGACCCGACCAGTCACTATTGTCAAGCGCTAGATAAGGTCTCGTGATTACGAGATATGACAGGCGTTATGGATCCGGTCTTGGGAAATAGTGAGTAGAGCAGAAGGGCCTTCTGGATGGCTGAACATGTCTCACTGCGATACCAATGCTAGGTCGCAGCATTAAGATGACGAAGAGAGCGAGGCTTGGAGCCGATCTCGCGGCCTGGATTGGCCGAGGGCTCGTTCCAGTAGCACCGCGGACGACATCAGGACGACACTAGCACTGGGCAACGCAGCTTACGGCGCGGATCGTACCTGCCAATCGCCAATGCTCGACTGACTGGTGGCGGTCCGATACCGTCCGCAAGCTATCAATACCAGGCCTTTGCTTCCCCTGCCGAGGAGGCGTCATTCAAGACATATTCGTCGCGGACCCTCGTGGTAATGGCGCCGCTGGAGTTATTGGAACGGGGTCAGCATGTCGCATTTGTTTTTATTCCATATTTGCTTCGGAATTTGATGGATTCAGATCAGCATTGTCTGGCCCAATTTTTGAGGCGTCGGTTTTCCTTATTGGTCTGCTAACGGGCGCAGCGGTCGACTCGGAGAAATCAGCAGGGGTTAGTTGTGCTGGCGACTCAGAGGGCACGCTGTCAGTCGGGCGCTAAATCATTATCGCTCCCGAAAGCCTGAGTGGCTGGTCGGCAAAACCTCGATTTTCCATGGGCGCGATTATTGCAGCTTTCCGAAAGCGTTTCAGCCGTCGACACTTTCTGTCTCTCCTTTATGCACAGCCGATGATTGACGTCTTGCCCCTGCCGTGGGAATCGCCACAGGCTCGCGTACCTGAGCAGCATTGAATCGGCTGCCACTGTTTCGCGCCACGAGCGTACGGCAACGGCCAGGATGTATTTCGCTGGGCGCACGAGGCGAAGCCAATATGGCGCTTCCACTCAGACCATGTCTTGTTCGGGAAGCGTCAGATTAGCCGGCTGCGACGTGCTCAGCGGTGCGAGGGCCCTGATGGGATGATCCCACCCGGCTGCCTTGACATCCCATTTGCCCTTGCTAGGAGTCAGGCGTCGAGGCATGCACTGGCGAGCTAGCCTGGCGGCCGCATAATTCTGGCCCGCGCTGTCCTAGGGGCGCATCCCCGATGAGAGACCCGCACACGCTAAGCCCAACGTCGTCGCTCGTCGCTTGGCCGAATGGCGACCAGGATCACTGTGCACACGCCAGGCTTGCCGGCAAGCTTGGGCTCGAAACAAACAGGGCTCCTCTCCCGCCAGCTGCAGTAGGCCGCGCCCGCATCGCACAGCCAGGGCCTGTTACCAGTGTCCCCAGACTTATCCTCAAGTACGCGCTGCAGGCCCGCCGCGCCAGGCTTTCCCTGCAGTTTCAATTCTCCATCTAAGGCCATTGCTTTGCCGCGCTGCTTTATACCTATATGTTTTGACCTCTGTCATACCCAGCGCCTTTTGTCAGCGCTACCCCCGCTACTGCGGTACATTGACTTGTCGCTGTTTCGCCTCAGGAACCAAAATCTCGTCTCATGCATGTATGCGCTCGGCCGCTCTGAGGTCACCCACGCCGCCTAGGTATAGCAACACCACGGTGCAGGTGCATATGCCCGTCTGGCACCCTACTTCTGCTCCGCACCCAACACGGACACTTGTTCCCACACTCGCACGGATACACCACTCCAATACCTACTGCCTTCGACATGAGCCAGTTGCAAATGGATCACGACCACCACCATCACCACCACCAGGAACCTTTCGAGGATCACCATTCTGGATGGCATGGCGATAATGGATACAACCCACACCATCAGTCTCCAGTCCAAGACTTTAATGGCTTCAACGGCTTTGCACCGCTCCCGATGGAGCCCATCTACGGGAACGGCATGCATCCACCCCACCAAACTCATCCGACACCGAGGACTACGCATCCACAGCTGCAGCCTCTGATCATGCCGCAGATGCCGCAATGGCCGAGCATGCTGACCAGCCAGTCGACTTACCAAGCTTCACTGTTCCCCTCAGCCCCACCACCGATAACGCCGGCATCAGCAACGCCGGTCTCAGCGAGCTCAACACATTCTCGCACTTCGTCGACACCACGGAAGACTCTCACAGACTCGGACCGCAGACGCATGTGCCAATACCATGAAGAAAATCCCACTGTCAAGCAAACGGAAATTGGAGGTATGCCAGCACCACGCACCAGACTCACATGGATCTTTTACTAACGGTATCCTAGCAATGTTCGGCGTAGAGCGAAGGTACCACTGCATACCCTGCATGTCTCTTCCCGTGCTGACAGTCTTGTAGTACCGTTTCGAAAGTGTTGCGCCAGAAGGAGAAGTACTTGTACCAGGACGATGGCAGCCGATCACCCATAAAAAGGTCGAAAGGCAAATTCCCGGATATCGAACGTGCCTTGTCGAATTGGGCACGGAACCATCAGAAACAGGGAGCACAGCTGTCAGATGCTGCGATCCGAGAGAAGGCCCGCTTCTTCGCTCAGACCGTCGGCAACTCAGAGAGCCACCTCAAGGTAAACAGTGCGAGCTGGTTGGAAAAGTTCAAGCAAAAGAATCATCTCAATGGTGCAAGGTCACGAAAGACTTCGATAGCAGAAGAGTCGGAGGGGACTTCGAATCCGCCATCCAATGTGCATACCCCGGGGGCCATCTCGCCTACCTCGCCTGGTGGGGTCTCTCCAGCGACAACGACCATGACAGCGAAGAAGAGTCAGGAAAATCTCAAGACAGAAAGCCCCGACACATACGACTTTTCGAACCATCGCCGACCCTTCCATTCACAGAGCAGTACATCTTTGTCAAGCGTCTTCACGGATACAGCCACAAGCCCCACGTCGCTTTCTTCGCCTTTTTTCACGCCTGATTCAGCATGCGGCCCGAGTCCATTCATGGGAAGCCGCCAGCCTGCGAATGGACAGCCAGGGAACAACAACTTCCAAAGGCCCCGAAGCCAAACCTTCCCCATGCTTGTTGGTGTTGAGCAGTACATGTCACCTCCGGGCTCAACTGACGATATCACCCCAAAG